AGAGCTGTGCATTCATCTCGGTCAGTTGAGCACAATGGACAACATTCAAGGTGGTCACCCTTCCACGATACTGAGAGCCGTACCGGTGAAAACGGAGAAATACAACGACGGTAGAACCGAGTCGTTTTCACCGCGGCAGTATAAGAGGTTAACTCGTGGCACCATCCCTGAGTTGGTAATATCAGTGTTAGATATAAAGCATAATCCTGTGAATATAGGATACCTCAGCATAACGCTGCACATAAAATGACCAGCGCACAAGGTCCCGGGATGAAGTTGAAAAAATGCGTCAATGTGGGGATCTCCGACCTCGGGGACACACGCGGATTCGACGACCCCGGAGTAGATGGTAAACTGTACGCCTTGCAACTGAAAAACAACATTTACAAATGCATTGAAGTCCCCTCCATCGGTAGAACCCTAGGTGACATAGTAGATGCCTCAGGAGCAGCCCTCAACACTCGGTTCGACCTAGTCCGCATCGGTGATGATAGATGGGCAGTATCCCAATCGTTCGGAGCCAAACTGTTCGACTTAGAAGATGTTGAGAGCACGACCGTCGCCCGAAACAAGCAGTATACCCTCGTCTTCACCGACGACGACACGTGGATGTTGTTGCCCGCTAAAGTCGACTGGTTTCTCAACATTAGTCTCGGCTCCCCCTACGTGTTCACGGAGAACAAAGACAACTACCTAAACAAAGTCGTGAACACCGGAACCCTGCTCGTGGCTTACGTCCCGGCGCAGAGACGTAGTGTAATCTTCAGCCCAGTCTCCAATATGGCAGCCCACATGCTAATGAGTAAACCGGGAGTGCAAGACGAGGCATTGCAGTTGGTGTCTGAATTCGCTGGCGTGGTCAACATCCTGGCGAGCCTACCGGCGAACTCCACGCTGGTCATCCAAGTCTACCTAGGGGAACAATCGCAGGATGAAGTCGAAATCGTGAAGGGGATCAAACTCCAGTGGGTGAAACGGCACCAGTATCAGGTTTGCACTGTTTACGTGCTGGTGGGTGTCGACTCCCACACCAGTCTGCAGGGGGTCACCGTGACCGTGGAAGACACAATATCACTCACCAAGATCTTCCTACCCGACAACATACACTTCAAGGGGTTGAAGTGCACCCCTGAGAAATTATCAGAAAAACAGTTGGAAACTATCTTATGATAGTAATATAACAATGACTAGTCATCGACCCAACGCCACGCTGAAGGATCTAGGAGACACGGAGGGATTCGATCTGCCCGGCGAGGAAGATGCCTTGTACATCCTACACTTGAAAGACAACGTGTATAAGCGGGCGGCAATGACCGATCATCGACCCAACATCACACTCAGGGATCTAGGAGACACAAGGGGGTTCGATCTGCCCGGCTTGGAAGGCTTGTACGCCCTGTACTTAAGAAAAGGCATATACGTGCGGCGGCGTCTGCCAGACGACTTTATAGAGCCCAAATGGTTGATCAACATGACCCTCACCGCACCTTATATCTCTTTAAACAAAGATAGGGAGGTCTCTGAAATTAGGAACAACGGCATCTTGCTTGGGGTTTTCGTTCCGAAAGGAGACGTTACCTATTAGCCTCTCGCTTATTTCCCTGTACGATGATCTAAACCTTATAAGCCTCAAATACACTGTGCAAGAATTAAATGTCGTACGGTTTAAAGATCTTTTTTAGAATATATTATACACACAGGATGGGGCACACTTCAAGGGGTTGAAGTGCACTCCTGAGAAATTATCAGAAAAACAGTTGGAAACTATCTTATGATAGTAATATAACAATGACTAGTCATCTCCTTAAACAAAGATAGGGAGGTCTCTGAAATTAGGAACAACGGCATCTTGCTTGGGGTTTTCGTTCCGAAGTATAGGATAAGTACTCAGCTAACACGGGATCACACGAGTAACATGTTAGTTTCAGGTCTGGGGGACGAGTTAAGGTTTGATGTCCCCGATTCCCAATTGGCCGTTATGACTGTGAAACCAGGCTCCACACTCGCCATAGAAGTCTGACTCGGGGTGGTTTTTGATGATACAGAACGGCAACTTTTACCCGGGGTGACGATACGCTGGGGCGTCACAGGCAGGGACCAACGTTGCCGTATCATCATACGACCGGACCCCTCAACGGGTTCTATAGTCCCCTCAGTAAGATGCCCCCATGATGTTCGTGTGGACGCAGAGTTACCTATTAGCCTCTCGCTTATTTCCCTGTACGATGATCTAAACCTTATAAGCCTCAAATACACTGTGCAAGAATTAAATGTCGTACGGTTTAAAGATCTTTTTTAGAATATATTATACACACAGGATGGGGCTGTACCCAGTCGTGGAGGAAGCTGCGAAGACCCTGGAAACCGTAGACGGGTTCCGCTTGAGACAGTTATGTGATGTAAAACGCATACTAGAACAAGACCGCGACACGCGGAAAGCACTATATAAGAAGTACCAAAGAGCTTTCAATATCATGAACGGGACTGATACTGCCCTTATGACAACCAGCATGGGACTAGGGGCGGCAGGTGTTGGTTTGTTAGCCACCATCGTGGCCGCACCTATAGTGCTAGGCATTGAAATAACAGCTGGGGTTGTAGGGGTGGCAGGGTTGGTGTTTAAGTTTGCTTCCCGCAGGCTACATCGTAAAGCGTTGAAACACGATGAGATCAGGGTCCTGGCCGAAGCAAAGCTGAACACGGTAAGCGAACGTATTTCCACGGCACTCACCGACAGTAAGATCTCAGAGGAGGAATTTCGTTCAATACTCTCTGAACTTGACAAGTACCGTAAGATGAAACAAGAAATCCGGTCCAAGTCTCGTAAGTCTGCTATCAACGAAGACGAGACAAAAAAGTACATAGAACAGGGGATACAACAAGCCCAGCAAGCCTTCATTACGAAAACCAAAGAAATCATAGGAGATTCACATTAAACTGTTTTGCTGAGATCAACATCATGTAGGGCAGCCACGGGCCGCCGTCAAGCAAAATATTTAACACTTACTGTTGAATAATCCCAATAGTATCCTGTAACCAACTGTTTCCTCGAGGTCAACACGACATAGTGTCACGTGTGTTAACTGGGGGTTCAAAAGTAGTATATACAATGGTGGCGAGATCTAAGAGCCTGACAAAAGCTTTATTAATGAAATAAAGCTTTACAGAGGCTTTTGTTGGACTTGATCTTGGACCATCATTGTATATACTACTACTTTACATGATTCAGAGCTTGTAAAAGTAGGGAATTCAGTCGATTCTGGAATTTGGAATTGTGACTGAATATTTTAGATACAAAGATGAACTCTCTATGTTTCAATCATTATTGAGAGGAGAAAGAATAAGTGTGCCAACTGTGTTGAGAAAGAAAATTCTGGACATTGCACATGAAACTCATCAGGAGTAGTCAGGACAAAACAGGTTCTACTAGCAAGATTCTTCTGGCCGAAGATGGATTCAGATGTTGAACATTTAATCAATAACTGTACATCATGTGTACTGAATCAACTGCTACAGGAGGTAATCGGTTCATGATTGTTGAATGGGGTAAAATAAGCAAGCCAGTTTGTTGCTACAATAAGTATGATATTTAGAGAAACAAAATATATTATGCATTTTCTGTCAACTACACTTTGTTTCGATGCGTGAGTAGACGCAATATATATGATTGTGAATTCTTTGAATAGTGTGGACCAAAGTTATAATTATTGGTAACTGCCAGTTGTCTGTGGTCTGTGTTTGCCGCAATAGGGACCCCATCGCGGGCTATCGGCTTATGTACGAAACATACCATTTTGACACTGATTTTAAGGGTCACGGTTAGGGGTCGGCTGATCTATGGGGTCGGCTTATAGACGGTAATATACAGTATATTTTTATTTATTTTTTCCCTATACTGCAGGCAAAGGATTCGTACCCGATGTTTTTTTAATATTTGGTAAGACTATTAAAATGGTTGGATGCCAAGTGATGGGGTTTCCGTCTTTATGGAAAGTTCTGGCTGGTTCCACGTGAACTTTAAAACCGGTGTTGTAATCATCCCTGTCTCTCATTATCCAGCTGACTTTTTGTTCGTTTAGGATAACGAATGTTTCTGCATACTGAGAATTATCTTCCAACACGAGCTCCAGTCTTTTGTTTGTCCAAACAACGATTCCATCTTTGAACACCACTCTGCTGGATAGTTGCCCTTCCTGCTTACTCCAACCTATAATGTCTGTCGTTTTTCCTGCTATGACTGATATATTTTCGGTCGGTATGGTTTTCAGCCATTCATTCACTATCTTGAACCACTCAAGGGCCAAAGCAGAGTATTTTATTTTCTCTTAATGATTCAGTTTTCATTAAAACCTCTATTAATATCATCTTTCTGAATGGAGAATTTAAATGTGGATTCATAATTAAAAATTTCTCTTTCATACAGGGACATCAAACGATATCCCTGCTCATTAATCGTCATTTGTAAAGGACCGCTGGGAGCTTAATTAGCCATAAATAATACCATAAGCGGAACTGATGCAGAACACCCATTACTTCTACTACTTCTGTATTGATATTGAGCAGAAAGCTCAAAGGATTTAAAGACAAGCAAAAAAGCAAAGGACTGATTATTATTGTTATCATCAATGTTTTAGAATAATAGATATTGGTGATCCTAGAATCTGGCCTCAATATCCAAAATTTACAATTCAAAACATACATTAAAAAATGCCAGGAAAAATGATTTCATAACTCTGGTGTTTCACATGAACATATATCTGCTACCCAACTTTCATACACCCTATGAAAGAAAAAAACAATATAATCCATGTTGTGCACCTCATATCATCGAAACTGACATCAATATCATTTCCCATTTATGTCTATCACTATTAAATGCCATCTAAAGTCTGGATGGATGGGTAGATGGATGGGTAGATGGATGGATGGATGGATGGCCCACCCCAATCTTCTTTCTTCCACACTGCACAATATTGTAGAAGTATAAGTGTGAATACTACCTGTACTTGATATTCCCAGTGTGAGTGTAGTCAATCTCTCTGATCAGCAGGTCCACCTGGTGCTGTGGATACAAAAATAAACTTAATATAAAAAGGAGGACTTCCAAGGCTCACCCAAACACACTATTTGTACATACTTTTTGTTTCTTGCTCATATAGGGCTATGTGACTATGATTAACACACCACTTATCATATTGGTCCGAGACCCCAGTTAAGAAGATGGCCTTTGTGAATATAATATTGAGTTACTCTGAATAAGGTGATTATCCAGAATGTATATGTACAGACTTTGTGTTGTTTGAGGGTGAAGTGTATATTTTGCAAAATAGTTACTTCCTTAAGAAAACTTGGATAAATATATATATTTTTTTTTTTTCAACAACATAATGATGATACATTGCTCCATTAAAAAGTATACTTTGATGCGAGTAAATTTCATTTGGAGATATTGTCCATATTTCAGGCCTTGAGGAGTAAATGAGTTTTCATAAGATCTCCATGAACAGATGTCACACTACAGTCTGAGTCAAAATGATACCGATGAATCACAATCTAACTCCAAATCGGTTCATGATCAAACATTCATTTCAAAACAGAATGTAATGAAAACATCAGACCAACTCTGGAAAAGAAGTTTCATAACGTCTGTCTCCAAAATAGAAAAGTTACTTAACACCCTATGATCATTTTGTTTTGATTTTCCGCGTGAAGTTTTATGAGGGTAAAGTAACAGTAGTACCAGTAACTGTCGCAGGATCTGCCACAAGGGCGGGAAGCACATGCAATTGTGACGTCACATCAGGCATAGCCAGTCGATTTATTGACACAGTACATGAGACAATGAAATTCACCTCTGACATCAAGTCCATTAGTTTCAAAGTTTATGATTTTTTTAAAGGTGAAAGTGAAAGGGGGTCCCCTTAAATAATCTCTGGGTAAATTTTCAAATGCAATGCATGTGCAGTTGTGTTGTGTGTACAACTGAGTGAGGCACAACTGAGGGGTTCGTATCAAAATCTCCACTTTTGAAAGTTGGCAAACTTGACTGTTTTCAGAAAGTTTTTAAGAAATGCTATTAGAAGACACTATAGCAAATATAATTTCCTATATCCAAGTATCAGTTATGGGAACATTTGCATGAATTTGTGTTTTGTTACAAGTGGGGAAAACAAGTGGGTGCTATGTGAAAGAGCTGACATCTTGCAATTAGGCAACTCATACTTTGACACTGTCGGACAACAATATCAAGAAGGATTCGAACCAGTGTTTTTGGATGAAACATGGGTGAATGCAGCCACACTGCAAGCACACAATGGGTAGATAGCTCTTCTACAGAACTATGTAACAGGAAACTGCCATTGGGCAAGGGTGAGCATGCAGGTTGTAAAAGTGGGGGGTTTCTGCCTGATTGTTCACTGGTGTTCAAGGCCAAATCCGAAGACAACTGAGATTACCACAATGAAATGAATGGTGAAATTTTCTGAAATTGGGTGAAAAAACAGCTGGTACCAGCACTTTCTCAGAAAAGTGAAATTGTTATGGACAACGCATTATATCATAGTGTGCAGGATCCAGATGCAAAAGCTCCAACATCCAACAGCAGGAAAAGTGATATGGTAGCATGGTATGAAAAACAAGATATTTTGTTGTGGGGCAGGACCTAGAAACTCTCAGCAGTCAAGCTGCCAAACATGGTCACCCATCCAGAGCAATTTCCGTGGACTAGTTGTTGCTTTTGTTATTGTTTTTCTCCCCGTGAGTACCCGGATGATATCCCAGAATTCTTGACTGGTTCGTGACCTCTGCTGCGCCACCCGCATGTGCAATTGATAGTATAAGTATAGATTGATCAACAAAGAGGAAATCTTTTTTACTCGATAATATTTTCATCTTCATTATTATGATAACAAATGAAAACATTTTGAAGTTTAACCATCTTCCAGTGGTAAAAAATATCAGGACTGAAAACTAACGAGGTCAAAGTACGTCTATATATTTTGTCTTATAATCCAAATTAGTTTAGTATCATATTTGTATCCTTTTTGAAACTTAATAAAATGCACACGATTTGCTTATACTTATTGTGAACTTATAACATGACTGTAATATCTAGACATTTTATGGCTTGCCAACGTCTATTATATATTATTTCACACACGCACCCTAAGTCTGACCTAGTGTATGTTGTCTGTCTCAGTACATTTTACAGCGAAAAAACCCCATGATTCTGAATAATGCTACAAACAAAACAAAATGCAAATATTAACATTAAAACAGATAAAAGGTATAGCAACAATGTCAGGCTATTACCTTGTTCGAGGAATGTATCCATCAATATCCATATAAAGGAACGATATGCCATTCATTTGCAGCTGACAAAGAATCCTGTGCCATGTAATGTCTAATATACTAAAAAGTGATCTATCGTTTCAGGTTTTTCACATTGGTGTCTCATTGGTCACCCAAGATAGCACACCTGGCAACTAACTGCATGATGTCCGCTGTTCTTTAAAAAAGTAATTTAGTTAGCCAATAATGAGCAATCAATCAATGTATTGGCGGTTAATCCTTTGAAGGAAGGACGTTGTTTTTACACAGGCACTTTACAACAGGGTGTATTATAGATTGGTAAATCTACATACATAAACACTACCTTTTGACAAATCCACTGTGCAAGATAAACGCAATTAATCAATCAGCGTGTTATCGGTTAATCCTTTGGTCGATGTTTGTTTTTATAACGCAGCTGATAATTCCTCTTGCTGCACTTCCATGCTCATGTTACATAAGATATAATACATTTGCCACATCAAACCTTAATTTATAATGTTGAGTATTTACTCAAGACATGAGAAATGCCAAATGGGAACCTTTGTCGGGTAATCTGAGTGGTGTTACCACTAATTATAAATTCATTAACTGACCATCAAGTGAATGATGACAAATAACATGTGTAGGTTTATCACCAAACATGGGTTACAGCAAGGGAGCATTAATCCCTGTATTGCATGCAAGTTTGATGGCCTGAAAAAAAATTATGGGCCAACACTGTTTGGAGGATACGAACTGAACTTCACTGTTTCATAGGAAATACATATACTGATGGACTGAGTTTGGCTTTACGCCGCTTTTAGCAATATTCCAGCAACATCACGGCGGGGAACACCAGAAATGGGCTTCACACATTGTACCCATGTGGGGATTCGAACCCGGGTCTTCGGCGTGACGAGCCAACGCTTTAACCACTAGGCTACCCCACCGCCCCGGAAATACATATAAGCATTTGCTGTGTACTTAGTTAAAAACTGTATATACCTCTATTTACCTAAGTAAATATTCAGACTTTTCTAGCAATGGCAAAGTGGGATTGTTTAGGTTATGGATTCTACCGGGGATATTTTCAAATAACTGCATCTGATGGGCATCCACCCTTCTTAATATCCCACTGTTTAGGTTGAAGAAATTCTGCCTTGGTCCCCGTGTCCGTCACGGTCGAGGGAGCAGGTACTGACCTGCCTGCAGCTTGGCTTCGTAATTAGACTTTTGGCGAGAAACATAAATCGCTTTGGATTTGTGTCCCATGAACTTCAAAATGATTTGTGACCTGAGCTCTATGCACAGGACCACACTTCGCCACAACTTTAGCCATTATATACCAAGGGTGTTGATACTGGTGGAGCATGAGTTAATTTAGATGGATTTGCTGGAGGTGCAACTGTAATGAGTGATAAAATTATCTCTGCCATTTCATTAGCTGCTGCCTTCATCTTGGTCTTCTTGATGTTATCTATCAATTTGAAGGAGGAGCTGGAGGAGATTCCAGAGTGCAAGGGTTACCCATGCAGTTCCAACAGAAATGGAGATTAGGGAAGCCATCTTCAGGCTCACACTGAACCAAACACCTGATACTTATGTGCATATAAGCAACCAGTACATCTTTACTTACTTCTTACTTAGAACTTAAATGATGAATGTTGATATTGACTCGAGCACTCATTGTAAAGAAGGTTCAAGAAACGATCGTTTCTCATCAGTTTCATGGGTCCGAAGACATATGGACTTATGCGAAATCTAGTCTCGCCTTTAAAACCGAAGGATGTTCTCCGGGCGGACGCTCTAACCACTACACCACGGAGACTGTCTGATCAAAGGTAAACAACCCAGCCTGTTCGGATGAAATTGGATCTGCATGTTTAAAATCAGCAATCTTTCAGACCTGAACTATGTGACAAGTGACATTTCATTTAGTGACATTCTTGCCAACCATGAAGAGGTGTTTCGACAAGAACAAGGCGAAATAAAAAACATGGTAAGCAAGATCCACGTTGATCCGGATGCTAAGCCTATCTTCTTCAAGCCACGCCCACTTCCTTTTGCAATGAAGGACAAGGTTGACGCAGAACTCGATCGTCTCATTGATCAAGGTATTATTTCTCCAGTACAACATTCAGAGTGGGCCACACCCATTGTACCAGTTCTCAAGGGGGATAACTCTGTGCGCCTCTGAGGAGATTACAAGGTGACTTTAAACAAAGTTTGTCAACAAGACCCCTATCCTATTCCTTGCATCGAGGATCTGTATGCTAGACTTTCTTGAGGCCAGCGTTTCACCAAAATAGATCTCGCCAGTACCTTTCTACAGCTGCCCAGAGATGAACAGTCCAAGAAGTATACCACCATAATCACGCACAGAGGACTATTCCAGTTCAACCAACTACCCCTTGGTATCAAATCAGCTCCTGGAATTTTCCAGAGGTGCATGGACAATCTACTTTAAGGTATAGACATGACTGGCAGCTACCAAGATGACATCATCACCAGTGGTACTGATGACAAGCAGCATCTACAGAACGTTAACACCGTTTTGAACAAGCTTTCATAGGCGGGAATCCGAGTGAAACGTGAAAAGTGTGAATTCCAGACACCGTAGGTAGTCTACCTGGGACACCGCATCAGTGCAGACGGATTGCACCCAGTGCAAGACAAAGTAGCTGCTATAGCCAACGCACTGGCTCCAACAAATATAAATGAACTGAAGTCCTATTTAGGATTGCTGAACTACTACGGTAAATTCCAACCGAACCTGTCGACGGTGTTAGTGCCACTACACACCCTACTCAAGCAAGAACCCAAGTGGCAGTGGGAAACCAGACAACAAAAAGCCTTCCAAGAGTCAAAGGAACTTCTTCAATCTGCCAAAGTTCTTGTTCACTTCGACCGTGACAAAGAACTTGTGTTGGCTATGGACACATCTGCATATGGCCTCAGAGCTGTACTCTCACACAAGATGCCAGATGGTTCCCAAAGACTGATCGCTTTTGCTTCACGTACCCTACATCAAGCTGAAAAAGGCTACACACAAATAGAGAAAGAAGGACTTTCGGTAGTATTTGGTGTAAAAAGTTTCACCAATACCTATACGGCACTCACTTCTGGATCTCTAATGGCCACAAGCCTATACTATTCCTCTTCGGACAGAAGAAAGGAATATCAGCCATGTCATCGCCAAGAATACAGAGATGGGCAATCACTCTCTCAGCGTATTACTACTCGTTCATGTACACCCCGGGTAAGGACCTGGGTCACGCCGACGCCCTTAGTCGTCTCCCGCAGCGCGTAAACGTACCTCCCGTGCAGTCACTACCAGAGACTATCTATCTCATGGACTTTCTAGAGTCAACGCCAGTTATGGCCAAGGAAATTGAGAAATGGACAAGTCGTGATCCTGTGTTGTCTCGAGTACACAGACTTATTCAGCATGGATGGCCAGCTTCAACGAGCACCGACACGTCTCTCCGACCTAATTCTGCCAGACGTAACAAGCTCAGCACTCACACTGGAGTGATCTTGTGGGGATCCCATGTCGTCGTCCCAGAACCAGGACGAAGTCACCCAAGGGCTCTTAAAATCTTAAAGGGGAAGGTATGTAATGTATTGCATTCCGGATCCAGTTTAGTCGTGTTCGAAATTTTACATGTCATTGAAATGCATTGTGGGGGCGTCATTAAGAGTTCCGGCGTTAAGTCCGCCATGTTGTACCTGACTAATAAACCACGAAATCGAGCTCTAATCCATGATTTGTGATCCATCACAGTGTGATTGCTTACAAAATAAAGGATTAATGGCAATGATGTGATAGAGTTAGGATTTGTAAGAATTTAGCAGTTTCTGACATGCCTGAGAGATGCAACCATGCACAGCTACTTCTGGGGCCAAAGTTGACTGGGACACCCTTCCCCTGAATGAATTAAGAGGACAAATGTGGCAGAAGTTGGATTCAGAAAGGAAGGTGCTTCTGGGTGCTCCTGTCTTGATCTCTGCTGAAAAGAAGTCATCTTTTGATCCAAGCAGATATGCAAGATAGATGAACCCAAATTTGAAGATTGATGATTTGTATTTATTGATATGCTATTTCCTATGACACAGATTACCCCTTGCTTTAACCGAATCGCGTTATTGACAGGGATGACGGAACAGTTGGTAGAAAACAGATGACTGAGCTGCTATAGCTCAATTTATGTAAACTTGATTAATTATCACATGGATTAACAGGAACAAGCAGAAGGATAAGAAGAGTGTGACCACATCAGTTGCTTTATGCAAACATTTTCCAACTGTGATTTAGGTGGTTCCAGCAGCAATGTACATTGTCAGCTTGGCACAGTAACTAAAGTGGAATCTTCAAACCAATGAAGACTAATTACATTCATCTATTTTCACGGGCTGTTGTACACCGGTCAATGACTGTTCATCTATTTATCTGCCAAATGAATCTCAAATTGAAATCTAGTTATATGCTACAGGCATAGCACACCTATTGGTCATGTTATCATGGAGTAATAATTCATACAAAAATTCATTATTAATTATTACCACTACAAGCGATATATATTAGAATTTAAATATTAGGAAAACAAATATAGAATACTAGTATTAGTTTCATCATGATCAGTAACAGCTTAGAGAGACTCCAGTCAAAACCCAGATAGCATTCTGACGTTGGCCCAAGGTAATCGTGACCGCTAGGCCAACATTGGGCCAATGTTGGCAAACAAACGTTGGGCCAACATTGGATCAACGTCTGTTTCATTCCTCAATACCTCTTACCTACCCTGAAATGTTTGTACAAATCTCGCAATACTATCACATAGCAAGCAATACATTCTTCAAGTTGAATTCACTCTCTCTGTCTTTGCTGGACACCTCTTGACAGCTTTGTGTAGGCTCAAGAAAATATAAAGTGTTTCTGAATACAATTAGTTACAATATTATGCATATTTCAAAACAATTTTCAAGTCTTTATATATCACAAACGATATTACAAAATAGTTGATTTTTAAATAGATAACCATAAGGCAACAGGCCCTGGAAAAAAGCCCAACACAATGATTTGAAACATTAAATTTTTTCTTGGCCTTACCCCAGACATTTAACACCAAGAGCAAGAGTGAGAGCAGCAAAATAGTCTCTGCATCTGATGCCCCACAATCCATTTTCTTGATCAGTTAAAAGTTTGATTATGACAGCAACAAAATGAACAAAAGATAATTCTGGTTTAGATGATCTTAATTTATTTCTGAAATTATAAGTCAGAACTTGGACTGAGTGGCAGGGCATCCTTATATTTTCAGTTATCAAATGAGGAGGAGAAAGAAATAATCACAGGAGATCTTCATCTGTATACAAGGTCTGTGCCTTGGCCTCTGAAAAAATAAATGACATAAACATCTAATGACTTCACAAGACATCTATTATTGATGTAAACAAACATTGGCTACTTTTCAAAACATCAATGGATATCTGGTGTCACTGAATCACAGGAGAAAAATACTTATATGATTTGGATATATCAAGTTTTAAAATTCCGTTTTTATTTAGATATTTTCATTCTGGAATTTTGCATTGTACATACCTTTTGTATGGGTACAGCAGTTGGAATCACCACTGCTTCATGTTCTATACTTCATGTGAATATGCTGCCACAAACTGTAAACATCACCTGCACAGAAAACACAATTAAGCTATCACTTTCTTACTTTAACCAATGTAGATTAACCCTATTTCTTAAAAATAAATGATGTAACTGGTGTCAGTTTAAGTAGATATGATGATTACTGTAAAGCAGTAAATTTACCTTTCTATTGTATCTTACATTCTATTAAAACTGGTAATTCAAATATAGAATAAATGCAACATAAATGTTTTGTAATTATTCAGATGTTGGGGAAATTTGTAAAATAGGATAGCTTAGATGATATCAGAAAAAGTCGAAAAAACAATGCAGTCATGTCAACTCATATACGTTTCCATAAGTAGCGACTTCGTTTCCATAGACATACATGTTAATTCAGTGTAGCATAAATAATTTTCATTGATTTAATTTTTGTAAGATGCAAGTAAAATTTTGCACATTTGTGAGGAATCATCTTACCTACAATCACATAATTTCTGTTTAATTTTCTGCTGCTTATTTATCAAATGGCAACAATTATATAAACATATGTACTCCTTTAACATGGCGGCTTATGCGACTGTGCATTGTGGAACCATACGAAAGTTGATAAATGTGATGTCATGAGTTAAATAGTGGTCGGAAAATTGAACTGAAATTATGTGCGCAGAGTCATGCTGATTTCACATTTGCCTGTCCGAGTGTCAAATTTTACAAAGATCCATCCTTAACTCACTTCATGAAAATTATTTATGCTGCACTGAACTAACATGTTAGCCTATGGAAATTACGTGAAGTGTCCGAATATAACTGGCACGAGTCTGTAAAACACGCCCAGACAGTGATCGAAAACTGAACTGGCGATTCCCTTACACCAGTGAAGCTCCGCACATCGATTACATGGAGACTGCTATTGTAACTGTAATATTTTTTTTACCGTTGCCACAATCAAATATCCGATAAATCTCCACTATACCCTGGATGCATCTACAGCTCGGGCCGATGATTTTTTTACCTCCCTTTGTTGGCTCTGCATTCTCACAGTAGCCAATCAGATAAGCCGCCGTTACAACCGAGCTTGACAGTGTCAATAAAGATAGCGGTTGCAGCCGTGAAAGTTTGTTCGCAGTGCGACTCAGATTTGGGTGGAAAACATACAAATTGACAGGTCTGAAATCATAAATAAATATATGCAAGAACTCCTTCTACCTCTTTCAGAGTACCTCTGCAACAATATATTATTGTGTTGCCAATTTTAATCGGTTAGATAATTTAAAAAGCGAACGTGAGTTGTGATTGGTACACTCAACTTCCCAGCGTAGACACCTAATTGGATAAAAAGCCAGCAAAGGGAGGTAATAAAATCATCGGCTTGAGCCGTAGATGCATCCATGGTATAGTGGAGATTTATCGGAACGTATACCCTGGAGATTATCGATAAAGCTCCTACGGCATGAGGAATATTCCACCTGTTCTAAATACCTCTTCAATGGGTGCCCATTCTTCTGGAGTGGTAGGGCAGATGATAACCTCATCCTTGTATGTATCCTGCTTGTGTATTCTTGGTCCCACTTTCTGCACCAACTCATCAAACATGGTAGGCTCCATCCTAAGGTAGTTGAAGAATGACTGCGTGTCCTCAACTCTGAGCTCTTCCAGCAGTCTTGTGTAATGTCCATACAGCCTCCTCCTTTCCTCTGTCAGCCATGGTCTGGTCTGGAATCTTCTCCTGGTCTCCTCCACATCACTTTCAATCAAGGCTTGCTGGAGCACAGCAATCTGGAGCAACGCAACATGGTCCAGCTGGTCCATACTCTATGGGAGTTGGGCAGTGACTGATGAATAGTTTTTATACCCCATCGTGGAACATTCCGGCAACATTCTTGATGCATTTCGGACATTCATGTTACATTCTAAGCACATTTGAAGGACATTTGAAATATTCGAGCTGCATTCTGTTTTAATTCTTTAACATTCGATCCATATTCAGGGGCCATTCCAAGAGGGTTCGTACAGCATTCGAGGGACGTTCCAACTGAAATTTGAGTGCTATTCACACAGCAATCGAACCGGACACGCACGGCAGTCGAAATTGTATTGTAACGGCATTCTAATTATGAAATACACAATGCTTTTTTGGGAAGTGGTCAAATGTAACATATGTGGCATTCTAATTATTCCTACTGTATTCTGATTCATTCGAGCTGCATTGGTGATCTAGTACATTTGGAACGAGTAAGAATCATTCGAGGTGGGTTTGAAGTGCGTTCTAAGTATTCCAACAGCATTCTTACAAAGCTTGAAAAAAATGTTTATTTTGACATTCTCTCCCGAATGTGGTTCGAATTCTGGAATTATTTTTTTTCTGGCTGATTCTCCTTGATTCCTGTCAATTCAAAATAGGTGTGAAGGACCCTTTAGATCTGTTAAAAACAAAATTATATTGTGTTTTTATCAATTTTCAAAAGGCATTTGACAACATCTGGAGGATAGGTTTGTGGCAAAAACTTCTATACTGTGGTTTCAACGGAAAGTTTTTCAGGATAATATTTAATATGTACGATAATATCAAACCATGTATCAAATACAATAATGATATTTCCGGATATTTTTGCTGTGAAAAAGAGGTCCATCAAGGCAAATATCTTTCACCACTTTTATTTTTTAATGATGTCGAAACGTATATGTCTTTTCTCAATGTGAAGGAATCACTATCAAAATAACTATTGGTATTATTAAGATTTCTAAGATGCCTAGCGGTTAGAACAATCGAAAAAAACAAACATTATCAGACAATAAAGGTATAGTTTTTAAGGACGTAACAATTGAATGACGTTATCCCGTCACTGCGCCATTCTAGTGTGCCCCCTCGTAATCAAACCATTTTACATTACCTCACAATGCAAGCGACGTCACGATGCATGTCAGTTGTCATTGCCTCGTACAGCCTCCTACAGTAAACTACTGTGTTGCATCCCGTTTCTTGGTTTGCAGTTGCTTCACTCACCTAACATCACTGGTGGAAACATTACGTTTATGTTTCCTGACGTTTAAAATGTCTCAATTCGACACGGTAACGTTCACAATGTTTACATTCCCACAATGCAATCGTGGAATGTCGCTTGACTACTCAGCTTCGTCTGGATGTACTGATCTAAACATACGGTGGTAGTAGAAATGCGACGTTCACATGGTTTACGTTAATCACAGATGTAATTAAAATAATTTAGAGAAGATATTTAATCCGAACATTAACCGTCATCAAACTGTTTATCATTTGTTTTTCTGGTAACGTTCGTCTTACCGTAGGGGGCAGACACATCAATAGAACAGCGCGCCAGTTAGCCCTGTGCGAGGATTCTTAATTTAGGTCACCGACACCGTCGTTTGTTTTCTGCCTTAAATTAATCGTAATTATCCTTAGAAAGTATTAAATTTGGCATCTTAGAAAAGAAATACAGTTCGCTCTACCACCATGTATAGTGCTTTAACTATATTAGTTCAGGGCGAAAGTGTGTTTTATTACACTATACATGGTGGTAGAGCGAACTGTATTTCTTAACCCCCTGGCTGCCATTTGGACATATATGTCCCTACACAAAACGCAGTTGGTGTGCCAGAGGGACATATATGTCCTTTTGTAACAACATGGTAAAAGAAGTTAAATTATTAGAAATAAACACAACCCCAAGTCCAAAACAATGCAACATTTAAAAGTATAGTAAATTTCCAACAATTGTGCGTTATTTTTATAACTGTACCATACATACAAATTGTATATGGAGGTAGTCAAAATCACCTTGTCTCACTAACGATCAAACTTGACGCCATTGGAATATTTTAAGATTTGGAGCACACTGCACTATCTGATTGGAAAAAAACATTGTAATTCACAGTTACAGATCTGACAGAAATTATTGCTTAAAAGTTGGAAAAGGATCAAATGTCTACAGTTCTATATAAGAATAAGCTTCTGGAACCAACAAATACCTTGTATATCGATGGTGTAATGTGCGTAATGTTTCTCCTCAATGTTTTCATGCTATGCATCGCTTTTCACTTCGCTACCAACGATATTTGAAATCATACAGACAGTAATACATACCCATTGACATCTGTTAAGAACTTTACTTGTGGAACACTGCCACTTTTCATAATGGTGTGTATACTCAGATATTCCATTATGTCCCTCATACCTCATATTTAGGAAAAATACAGAAAGGGTACCAAACTCATTCACCGGAAGTTGACACAAAATGGCTTACCGAAGTTGAAGGTCGCTGACAGTACTTTCCACGAAGAAGAAATAGCGGCACCTACGGTTCTCAGATGACAAAGAAATGCAGGCAAGATAGCCTGTGATATCTCCTAGTGGGGACTGTGTTGTTTATTTCTTCGAACGACCGCGTGTTAGTAATTGTTTTTAGAATATTATAGATGTTTAACTTTCTGAATAGACGTTGAAAAGTACACATTGGTAACAACACCAAAAGCTTATATTTAATAACGCACTAATCGCTGTTTTGATTATCCTGAATTAATAGGTTATTTCTCATTTCAACACTAACTTCGCGGTAAGTGTGATTTACCACGGAATGAATACGCTTTTGTTTTGTAATGATATACATCATAAGTTGTAGCACGGTTGCTCATTCGCTGACTATCATCAATGCTTGTCATCTAATTGTTGTTGTTTCTGTTTCAGTGCGCGAAAAAAATACACTCATACTGGCTGTATGCATTTGTTGGAAACCCTGTTATTATTTAGATTCCTGTTTCTTATTTTGAAGAATATGTGTGTATCTGTTTCTATTGACACTTTCTAAATTTCCACCACAAGACCGCTTCCATAATATTGGCGAGGTGGGCGGTTAATTTGGCGCATTGTTCGCCTGGAACAAAATACCGTGACATGCGACCTTTGACATGCCACGTCACAGAGGTTACCGCTGCCCGAGTCAAAACAATAAAGTTCTACGCTTCAATCGCTAACGTTGATAATGTAGATGAATGAAATGTGATTAAAGATACTAATGGCGCTACAATAGTTCATCCTTGTTTTGTTTGAGAAATCAGCACAAGGGATGCTCACGGAAATATATAAAAAGGTTGCCTCCCGCCAAGAGTATGAATATTCATGAGTGTAAATATAGCCCCATGTGACAGACGACAACATATCATCGTTGGAACATGACGGCAGTGGGAGTGGGTGATGATTACGATTTGGGGGAGTCGGACTTTGAGTCGGACATATCCGTCGATTCTCTCGATTCCGACTCAGAGTCTGACTCCCAATCAGGAGAAATGAGCGGTAAGTAAAATTATCTGTCATTTTCAAGTCAAATAGACTAAACTGAGTATCGTGGTATGGCTATTGTCAGTGACAATGTACATGGCGGAATATATGAATTATGACTGATTTGTAAGTTTAGTAATTTTAACATATTGGTGCAATTTTGACTTTTCAAATGTTAGACATTTACCATGCAATTATTGATACCGCAGAGAAACAATACATTCCTATATGAGTTTTATTTGAAATAAATAAATCCTCATTTGACTGTGAAGTACAAATATTATGCAAATTGAAAATTTCAACATGTCCACATGTGGGCAACACTTATTTTTAATAAATCGTAGGAATTGTAGCACTATTCACACAGTAAAAAAAGAGAATGTGTATTCTGAAATAGTGTCAACATAAGTACTCAATGTAATAAAAATAACATGTGAATTTTTCATATCAATATTGTCTTTGAATGTAATCATGTACTTTTGACATAGAAGAAAATATGTTTTATGTCAGTGAGTACAATTATACAAAAAGGCCTTCTTAATTATTAGTACAAGCATTTTGTGACACAGAGAACATACAGCATATTATTATTGAGACATATTACAAAATTGAGTAAAGTCCAGTTTTGATAAATTTGGCAACGCTAGAGTTTTAGTGGTGAATAATAATATGGTGCTTGGTCTCATATGTTTGGTAGGTACATGTATATAAATTATTGTATTTGATAATATTCACAAGTAGATGGGATCTGGCAAATAGATGTGGATGTGTTGATGCAATATGTGTGAATTTAAAAATCATAATTAATTACTTGAATTGATGAAACTATAGTTAATACCAAATGTTGTTTTTTTATCTGGGCACATACCATTATTAAAAATGTGTTGTTTTAAGAGGTCTGTCTGTTGGGAGGTCTTTATTATGGGAAGATACCTGTACAATTAATGTGTACTAATTAACTCATCTCTGAATATACTAGCCTCATATAAATATTTACCTAACTACTCTAACATTGTTAATACAAAAGTTACTGATGGACATTTGTAATTATATTGTTAAATAATAAAAACAGTATCTATATCTATGATATGATGGACAATATAACATGAAATGCAATTCATCTTAAATATCATCTTTTCAATTAACAAAAGTTATGTTTTGGTATTTGCCATTTTCTACTCTGCGAAGTTATGGGAGCACATTCACAATTTTGATACATACTTCCTACACAGAGATATGGAATAGCTTTATGTACATAATATATGAAGCGAAATTGCTTGATATTCAAAAACCTATGTTTACACTGTTTACTGTGCAATATAATGCCTTGAGTTACTTCACAGAGTAAACAGATCAAGTAGGGTTAGCAGGATTAATTACTCCACTCTGCCTAGTAATTTATGTTATTGTAGGGCACAACCAATAAAGTATAATGAACCAAACATAATTTTTTTTATCGTTTCATTAATCATTTAAAAGGAATACTTAGAAAATGAAAGTGTTATAAAGTGGGGTATAAACTCAGGGCTCCCACAGGTCAGGGAAAAGTCAGGGAAATCTGGCATTTCTCTGAAAGTCAGGGAAAACTCAGGGAATTTTGATATTTCTATGAAGCAGAATTGGTTCGATTTCTGAATTAAACAGTATGAAACATATTTTCTGGGTTAATATAAAAAAAATTCTTCGAAACTGACATAAATTTGACAAGAGCCTTCTTAGCATGTGATTTCAGATGTAATGGGGATATAGTCAACGCCTTGTCTGTCTGTCCGTCCTCAGACAGAATCATATTGTTTTCGGAGCATAACTCAAAACGGTTCAATATTTTCAACAAAACTTTGCAGATATATCAAACAGAAAATAAAGTGGTGCCTTTGAATATTTACAGATTGTTGTCATTTTTATTTTTTTCTTGGTTGCCATGGAAAACGTTTTAGACTTTGTCTAAAAAATGAAGTTCAACTTTAAGTAACTGTCAGATGATTTGCTGTTTCATATTTGTAGGGGCTGGGGGATTTGTCATCTTTTGATGACTCTTGTTTAGCATGGAAAAACACTAGTCCGAGATAGGCATAGTGATTAACAATAGATAATTGTTTGCCATTCAAAACATTTTTCTTTATAGGTCCACCTTGTCTATAGATAACTATGTTAACTGATAATTTTCCATTCATTTGTATACTTTTCCAAAATATTATAAATAGTATGATGGCTATGGTGGTTTCTTGCAAATTGTGAAAGCCCATTTTGGTCAAAAATACCCATATAAGTTTCTTTGTTAAAGTACAGTCTAGGTTTACAGGCTGAAAAATGCTCTTGGTGCCCTTTTGACACGCCTAATGTTTTAGAGACATAACTCACATTTAGTCATTTAATCCCCCAAACAATTATTTTTTCCAAACTGAATAATACCATACATATTTGAATGCCAATAAACCCATATCTTTATTTAACAATAAATTTCAAATGATCATCATCATTGTCATGTATTCTAAAAACATGTGGGCATACTTGATTTCTGAAAGGCACACCTAAAATATTTGTCTGGTGCCATAAGGCACACTTAGAAAAAAACGTATTTCTATCCCTGGTTTATAATGTGCCCTATGTTCAGACATTTGCTGTTTATTCATAAAGTTGAAAGTGGTTGAATGGTGTTCATACTCTAGTTGTCATGGTTGTACTGAATGTAAAGTGACATCTTGCATGTTTATTCTTTCCAAATACGCCTTTGATAATTACAACATTTTGTGATAATGAAGAAATGTGTTCCTGACTTTGAATGAAAAAAATTCAATTAAATCATTAGTTTCACATTTATGCTCTTTGTCAAATGCCCTTGATATAAAATACAAAGTTTTCAGATGATATATTACTGACATCAAGTGAGAATATATATTTCATGGTCACAGTCAAATGTATCTAATAGTATTATGTTACATTATGGCAGGAGAGTCAAGGAAAAATTTCTTCATCCCAAATATCAATGTTTTGGTTAATGTAATAAATTAACAAATACTATGTGTATTTATGATATGTGTGAAGGAAATATCTTAACACGCAAACACGGTGGTTAGGACTGACTGAAAGGGAGGGAGGAGGCCAGTTTTTACACTTACATGGTCAGGGAAAATCTATACTTGTCAGGGTAAAGTCAGGGAATTTTTACCTGCCATGCCTGTGGGAACCCTGAAACTACCTAAAACAGAATAGCTGTAGGCCACAGCCCAGAGGGGTTTAATAACTATGTGGTCATACCCTTTTTTAATTTTTGTAAATATTTAAGACAATATACTTCTGGTGAATTCAGACTCTTTGCTGAGCTAATTCTCCACTATGACCATCACAACATCATATTAGAAAATCATTAGAAACCACACTGGTGCCATACAGTAGCATCATTATACATCTTTCAGATAATCTGCCAATATAATTTGTATATCTAAGGGAGGTAATACAGTACACAAAGAATTGCATTATCTCCCCTCTAACAATATGAAAATCCATCATCCAACACTTGTTGAGCTTTAATTCTCACTGTATGAAGCACTGAGAAATAAATGCTGCAGTATTCAGTACAGTCAAATTATTTTTTCAACGAGGAATGACTAGGGTGAGTAAAGAATGATAATATTTTTCCCAATGATATTAGGATATCTAATCTGAAAAATCAAAATGGTGTCACATTATATATAGGGTGTATTACCTGCCCCATTAAGAAAGTATTGTGAACAATCTGGGAAATGCTTTATATGAGCATGTGTCATAAGCCCATTAATATATTTTCCTGTGTTACTTGCATGAAAACACTCTCTAAATGAAAATAAATCTTTCCTTTAATATTTAATTGAGAACACTGGTACATATTACATTTTTGGTACCCCACTG